TCGGGGGCAGATCGGGGAGTGCTGATTCCCCATTCAGTCTCCTTCCTACTGGATTTGCTCAGGTAAGATTTTGTTGCAATCAAAAAATGTCTCTGCTGATTTCAGTATTTGGTAAATCTTTGATTCTCTCTTAAACGATCATCACTCTCCTCCAGCAACTCTGAAGAAGGATGTGCATAGATGGCTCATCAGAAGGGGTCCCCAATATCACATGACAGAGGTAGTGTTACTTGAGAGGTAACACGTCTTATTTTGCAAGCTGAAAATAAATGCTGCAGTGTTGTTTCAACTGCAACCTGTGTAAGATTTTAAAATCCCATTTCAAGTTGATAGGTATGATTTGAAGGTATTTCTCAAAATTGAAAATGAATGAGAATCATCTTTTCCCCAATTTTCCATGTTAAGTCTGTCCGCAAGGGACTACACAATTCAAATGGCATCTCTTTGTAAGAGTAGGGAAATCTTTTTTTCTTTCTTCCTTCAAATACATGTTATCCTCTGTGGTTCCAATTATTCTTGATCAGTTCTATTCACAATACTGCTGCAGCCTTCACTTATTCCTGCCTATTCTTTTCCTGTCTCCACTCATTCATGTTTTCTTAAAACAGCTTAGGAATTTGCTCTTTGGCACTGAAGTGAATAAATCACCTTTAACCTGGCATATGAATGGATACCTGAACACACACTATGACTTTATTTAAGCACTCTGAACAACTATTTCTGCTTCATTGGTTCTAAAAAATTTTAGTCCTTTTAAGCATTTTAATGTGGTTTTTATAAAATAAAAAAAAAGGTAAACCATCAAATTATATGGTACTGTTGAAATAAGAATATCAAAATTTCTGTGAAAGAACAATTTAAGTCCCAAACTCCTCTGCCTCTTCAAAAAAAGACATCAACAAAATTGGCATTTATCATCAGAAAAAAATATTTTTCCAATTTTTTTTTTTTGTGGTGAAGTTCTGACCCTAAAGCTGTGCAGTGCTAAATAGCCTACTGCTGTTGCTTTTTCCACATATTTCAACTGAAAGGAAGTGCAAGTGAGAGGAAGGTGATATTTTCAGTCTTTTCCAGCGTAGGATGGAGGGAAGTGAAAAGATTTAAGTGGCTTGTTCATTATTAGGCATAAAGGTGGAAGATGAAAGAGCATTGTTAGAGTGTCTCATTCTGGGCTTACCTTGTAAAATGGCCAAGTCAGCCCCCGGGACTAACGGGACTCACCCATGTCCAGGGAGGGCGGATATAACTTCTGTGGGGTTTATGAATGAGATTCTAAGGCCTGGACTTGATTCCACAATAACTTAAAACATTTAATGTGTAGGAAGTTCACCTTCCTCAGGAGGATCAAGAACAGAGCTCTTTACTTCATTTTCCTATTGCTTGGTAAAATTTTTTGAGACCACATAGAATTTCTGCATAAATATAATGATCCATATTTTCAGGAACACTATTAAGTATACTGTGCGTATGCTTTCCTTAAAGTACTGGGTAGTGATGCTGTGGTGGGAACCAGCTGTTTCTTGTCAAGGTCAATAATGGAAAGAGTGTCATGCAGAGAAGATTCCTGTGTAAATAAAAGGCTTGGAACACGTTCTTCACCATCATCAAAGCCCACGTGTAGGCTTATTAAATGCAACAGGTATAATCCAATGCTCTGACACCTTCTGAGGGATGCGAACAGCATCTGCAAAATTCTGTGTGGCCCCTAAGAAGATTTTGGTAGCCAAAACTGAGATGGGGTGGCTGGTCACTGCTGGGTAAAATTTTTTCCAGAAAAAGCCCTTATTTTCATAGAAAACTGTCAATATTTTTAAACTGGCTCTGATGAAGCCATTAGTACTCTCTAAGCCCAAAGCATAGAAGTTTCCCCACATAGGCTTGAATTTCTGACTCAGCCTGGACTGCCTGGACCGCCTGGACCACCTGAACAGCACAGTGACACACCTTTAGATAACGATGGAATCCTTTGTCACAGTAAAAGAGGTCCCTGTGGTATTAGTTACAATAATGGCCGTGAAGAAACACTGGCATTCCTTAGAGGCAAAGTGTCTCAAAAGACTTGGGTTTCCTCCACTTCCAGCCTCCCAAAATCTGCATTAAACTCTCAGGGTTGTGCTCAGAGCTGTGGACCTGGCCCAGCACTCTGAGCTCTTCCGCAGCTCTCAGGGCCGTCTGGAAGGGGCAGGAGAGCACCTCCGCCTCCTGTCACAAGGCTTTGACATCTGCAGAGACTACGACTCCGGAGAGGGGAGCGTGGCCTGGCTGGGCACAGTGATGAGGTGGATATTAATACAGGAGATGCCAGGCAGTAAAGAGAAATCCTCAGAAAATGATGATTTAGCTCCAACACTGCAATGCATAGCTGCAGGAACCTGAGGGAAAAGGACAACCATCTTTCTAACGAAGGCCAGTTTACTGAAATTGATTTTGGATGACTCTGCACCAAGTTTGCACAATGCAGCAAAATCCAAATTGCTTCTGAGAGGCAGGCACTTGCTCTTGGCAAAATTGATGTTTTTGTCACATTCAGAACTTTTCTTTTAATCCAAATCAGTGTATTCTTAGCAGAAAAAAAGACAGGAAGACTACTTAGTCTTTTTCATAAACAAATGAAAGAAAGTCAGCGAAAGGTCTATTTAAGATAGAGCAGTGTGGGAAGAGCTAGTGCTGACATGATTTTTGGAGTGTTGGGAGGACCTACCTACGGGGGTGAGAGGAAACCCTTGCTTAAAATAAGATATTCCACAAATAGTTAATGACAATGTTATGGATTGCCATAATGTTCACCTAAGGGTCTCTTTCAGGAAAATAAAATTTTAACTTCTTATCACAAATTATTCCCTTGTGTCTGGATTAGAACATGCATAATTAATTCTTTGTCACCAGAACCCCAGACTCTTGAGGATTTAAATCATACCACTCTTGGAAACATCAAGTCCTGATCACCAAATGGAGTTGAGCTGAAAGTACTTTACCAAGTCCACATTTTCTCCTTCTTTTCAATTGAGAAGAGCACTAAGATGTTACTATCGCAGAAGCAATATAATCTGGAAGCTCTGCCACTTACTAGCTATGTCACCTGGGGAAGTCACTTCATTTCTCAGATACCAGGCTTTATTTTTGTAAAATACGAATAATGGTATCAGCTACCTCAACTGATTAAACAATAATACTTGATATTTATTAACCATGTACAATACAAAGATGTTCTAAGTTTTATATGCGATCATCTCATTTAATGCTCACAGTATCTCATTGAGTTGGGTGTTATTACTTTCATTTTATACAGATAAGGAAACTGAGGCTTAGTGACATCATGCTTATGTTTAAGCCAGAATGCCAGCACAGGCACTCTGACTTCAGAGACATGCTATTAACCACTACCTACAGTGTGAATTAACTGATATAATAAATACAACATGCTTAGCATAGTGGCTGACATAAAGATTCAATGAAAGTTCTGATATGATGAACGTTAAAATGGTATTATTGAGAATAATACTAATTTAAAGAATATTATGACATGTTAAATGTTTAGAGAGAACTATGCCTTTTTATTAATATGTAGTTAGTAAATTCTTAGAGGGAAGAAACTGAGATTCACTTATTTTTGTAGCCTCACATGCCACAACAATATGCCTGGCAAAGGTGCTCTGTGAATATCTGTCAAATGAAGAATGAATATCAACCTCACTAGAAATCATCAGTAATATAGAGAAAACCCAACTGAAGCCACTTTCAGCTGATCTAAGCAAAAACATATCTAGAAAAGATACTGATGTCTCCTTTCACCCTTCATATTTCTTATTATTGGCAAGGCCTCATAAGCCTGTTATGTCAAGGCAATATAGAATACAAAGAATTTGTGTGTATTTTTGTTCTTATCAAATAGTATTTACCAAGAAATACTCTCCTTCTCAAACTGTGCTGAAGATACGTCAAAACATCAAAAAACTTCAGGGCTGTTCTCTCCTAACCAAGTCAAAACCAGGTGCTGCAAAGCCTTAATTAAGAAAGCTGTCAGGTATTTTGCTTGGGGGGGAAATCAAAGGTTACAAGATTCATTTCTAATTATACGTATTATTAAATTTCTAACAGAATATCAATAAATAAAATTAAATCTTATTAATGGATATTTAAATTAATTTAGAATTCTAACCTAATATCCATAATAAAAAATAAAATAATATCCTAATAATATTTTGGTTTATGACACTTTTAGAAAAGTTCATTCTTATTTATCATGCATAAAATTAATTTTAGGAAGTCTACTAAAATTCTTTTTTTAAAAATAGAAAACCTGGGTGCAAAAAAAGCTTCATGTCTTATCTACAACTCACACAATGGATAAATGGCAGAACCATTTCAGGCACATATCCAGGCATCCGAATAGAAATGTGGCCTTGGAATGATGACATTTGAATGAGACAAGAAAGCAGACAAGCTTCAGCACAGTTCAAACATTCAGAACTAAGTGGCATTATGTAATCACAACACGTCTGAATGCCCTTATATTTTTAACCATTTTTTTCTCAAGGACGCATTTTCTTGAGATTGTTCCTATGTTTAAATTAGAAACCAAAGGAAAAAAGACAGAAGGAACAAGATAGAATTTAATCACAATCATGCACTTAATAATTTCAAGCACATCCAAAATATTTCTAGAGAATTACTATAATTATGTTTAACAAAACACAGATCTTTGGAAAAGAAGGTATTGGTAAGTGATTGCTGCTAAAAATCCTGAATATACTCCAGTTGCTCTGTCACATTTAACTGTCAAGCTTCCAACTGGAGGTGAGCCATTGTAAACCTGAGTGAATGAGTGCAAACTTGCACACATTCAAACTTCTCTGTGGCTGTTTTTAAAGCTGAGGTAATAAGCACCTTAGTTCCACAAGGATCTCATTGTTATGCATTAAAGGACTGTCTCTCTGGAACTATCCATGTGGGTGACAGAGGGCAGGTCTCCGAAAGATGACATTATGAGTAGTAATTACCTGGGCATGTAAAGGACTCTCTCGGCCACCACAAAGCCCACCCTGAAGAAGAGATTGCTGGCTGGAATGAATGGGAAAACCAGGAACAACAAGCCCACTAAAACTTCCTTGTGCTCCAGTCTCTGAAACACACAAAAAATAGTGAAGGACAAATTAATGTGGGGTTAATTCCACTTCACTCAGTGGCATTTAACCATTTCTTTCATTTTTCAGTTCTCATTGAAGGAATGAATAAATTAGACCAATTAAAGCCTTTTGATCAGTGTGCTGAATTCATCAGAGAAAGCCCTCAGGCTAACACCTCTGTATGTCAAAATATTCACACGTACCCAGACATGCATTTGCCATTCAGAAACATCTGATATTTGCATAATACAATCAGTGACCAATACTGCTTGTTCTGGGATGGCTCTACAGCAACTGTTTCCTGTTTTTTTCCCCCCAGTCAACTCATTCCCAGGGAACATAACAACTGGTGTCCCCAAGCTCACTAAGGCATCATGGAGAATTATTGTCTTCTGAGAAACAGAATGCATTCAAACACACACACACACACACACACACACACACACACACACACACACACACCCGCCCCGCCCTCAGGAGAAGCAAAGATTACCATAAAGGAAATTAAATGCAAATTGTAAAATTTGGTACCAATGAGGAAGATCATTTGAGCTGAAGAGTTTTTAATACCTCTCAAATTAAGCCAGTAAGCAAGTTATTTATTCCATGAAATGTTTTTGGAATCAAATTCTTTACAATAAGAACTCATTAATTGACAAAGTACCTTTCTGTAATATTATACATATTAATTTGTAAAGATTTTTCTGTCACTTATAGTTCACAGGAAAAGATTCTGTTTATTACTAATAGTATGTTGTAACGGACACTATAAAATGAGTTTGTATTTCATGAGTGTACATGGAATGAACACATTTGAAGAGAGGCCTACTTAAAACAAATCTTAATGTACTGGGTGGTATTTTTTTTTCCCTTAAAAGAGTTTAAGAAAACCAAATAGAACTTCCCATATTACAGTTTTAAATGTTTCTTATGGACATTTAAAATAGCCTATTACTTTTAATAATGGTAGAATACTAAATAAAAGTGTTCAAAATATAAATATTAGAGACTCCCTAATACAAACTACTAACACTTTAAATATACAAACTAAAAGATTTTAAACATCTTGAGATATTTGTCATCTGGATTTTATTAAAATATTTGTTTTTTTTTACTATAACATACAGAGTAATAAAATTTCTGACAGTAAGTCCGTATGAACAAATGTGATTTGGACAATTTCGCTTAATAGTTAACAACCTATAAATAATGATCTCATTTTTTAGCCTGAAGGAACCACACTCTAGAATTAAAAGATGAAAGAAGGAAAAAAAGCTTCCACAACAAGCCTTTCACTCAAATAGATGCAGTAATTTTGTATTTACTATGGCCCACTAAAACTGATTTTAGAAAATGGCTGAGGAAAAGTAGCAGTTCACTATACTTAAAAGCTGCATGTTATCTTTGCAATTTAGATTATACTTCAAGTTTACAAAGTGCATTTCAGTTCAAGACCTTAAAATTTACATAATTTAAAAACTTAAAAACATAAAATTTATGAAACATAAAATTAATAAAAACCTTCAGAAAGTCCTGTGACATCAAAAGCAAGTGTTTCCTGCTAAAATTAAAAATAAATCCCAGATTAAGAAGTACAAATTGGTAGTTACAAAATAATCACAGGGAGTAAAGTATGGCATGGGGAATATAGTCAATAATATTGGGATAACTATGTAGGTACTGGAAATATAGAGTGGAACACTTTGTAAAGCATATGACTGTCTAACCACTATGCTGTATACCTAAAACTAATACAAAATAACCTTGAATGTAAGCTGTTATTGAAAAATAAAAACTTTATATTAAAATAAATAAATAAAATAAATTCTAGAGAATAAATGTCTTGTCAAGTATTCTTCATGAAGTCTGTGCCCATTATTAAGTACAGCGCTGATGTGCTCTTTTTATAGGTGCATTCTTTAAAAAATATATTTTATTAATTATGCTATTACAGTTGTCCCATTTTTTTCTCTCCTTTATCCCCCTTTGCCCTGTACCCACCCTCCCTCCAGCATTCCCCCCTCATAGTTCACATCCATGGGTCATATATGTAAGTTCCTTGGCTTCTCCATTTTCTATACTATTCTTAAGCTCCCCTTGTCTATTTTGTACCTACCAATTAAGCTTCTTATTCCCTACACCTTTTCCTCCATTTACCCCCTGCCTCCTCCCTGCTGATAACTCTCCCTGTGATCTCCATTTCTGTGATTCTGTCCCTGTTCCAGCTGTTTGCTTAGTTTGTTTTTGTTTTTGTTTTTTGGGTTCTGTTGTAGATAGTTGTGAGTTTGTTGCTATTTTACTGTTCATAGTTTTGATCTTTTTTTCTTAAATAAGTCCATTTAACATTTCATATAATAAGGGCTTGGTGATGATGAGTTACTTTAACATGACCTTATCTGGGAAGCACTTATCTGTCCTTCCCTTCTAAATGATAGCTTTGCTGGACAGAGTCATCTTGCATATAGACCCTTGCCTTTCATAACTCTGAATACTTCTTTCCAACCCTTTATTGCCTGTAAGGTTTCTTTTGAGAAATCAGCTGACAGTCTTATGGGAACTCCTTTGTAGGTAGCTGTCTCCTTTCCTCTTGCTGCTTTTAAGATCCTCTCCTTATCTTTAATCTTGGGTAATGTAATTATAATTATAATGTGCCCTGGTATGTGCTTCCTTGGGTCCAACTTCTTTGGGACTCTCTGAACTTCCTGGACTTCCTGGAAGTTTATTTCCTTTGCCAGTTGGAGAAGTTCTCCTTCATTATTTTTTCAAATAAGTTTTCAATTTCTTGCTCTTTCTCTTCTCCTTCTGGCACCCCTATGATTCGGATGTTGGAACGTTTAAAGTTGTCTCAGAGGTTCCTAAGCCTCTTCTCATTTTTTTGAATTCTTGTTTTTTCATTCTGTTCTGATTGAATGTTTTTCTCTCCCTTCTCCTCCAAATTCTTGATTTGAGTCCCAGTTTCCTTCCCTTTACTGTTGGTTCCCTGTATATTTTTCTTTATTTCATTTTGTATAGTCTTCACTTCTTCCTTTATTTTGTGACTGTACTCAATGATTTCTGTGAGCATCCTGACTACCAGTGTTTTGAACTTTGCATCTTATAGGTTGGCTATCTCGTCATCTCTTAGTTCTTTTTCTGGAGCTTTGGTCTATTCTTTCATTTGGGCCATATTTCTTTTGCTTGGCGCACCAGTCTGAATGAATGTTTCTTCTTTAACTCCTTGTTGTCAGACTTCCACACAGTTTGATTTTCTGGCAGTTCTGGTTGTTTTTTTGTTTGTTTGTTTTTAAATTGGTTGTTTCCTTCTTTTGGTTGTGCAAGGAAGTGAAATGTATCTACCCACACCTCCATCTTGGCCAGAAACTGATATTTGTCTCTATAGGTGCACTTTTTAAAAAAGATAATTGAATACTTCTTAAAAGCTGAAATACTTTTTACAAAGGTGTTCATCTATCTTCCTATATAAATTTCTAAAGGGATTTAAACTTCCTATTTGTTAATCCTATAGAATTAAGAAGAATAAGGGTATAAACAGAATTCCCACTGGGCTATTATCCATGTCTCCAGCCAGCGTTTTATCCAAAGAAGTGCTTCCCTGGCCCTCATCAAGGTTATTGGAGAACAACCTTCACTGGGGACATGAAAGAGGTATCACCTTCACACCTCTATTAGCATACCTCCTTGCCTGACCAAAGGCCACCTTCCTCACTCTGATGAGCATATGGTTATGTCCTTTACTCAACAGAACACTGAGTGCTTCTGCAGTTACAAGGTTGGGAAGGTGGGCATCAGGTGTATGCCAAAGTCCAACTGCATGCTGCCTCCCTCCTCATTCACTGAGCCCCTGTAGCGGGCAGGATCCCCAAATAGTCATTGCTACTGAGGACATGGAGATGGGTTCTTTGGGCTCCCAGCACAGCCTTTATTTCCTTCATGGCAATCATTCCAGTTGTAATTACATATTCATTTGTGTGTTTACTACTTTAAATATCTCCACTATACAGTAAGCTTTATGGGGCAGGGAGCCAGTTAATTGTGTTCACTGGTACATGACCTGTGTTTAGCTTAGTGCCTGGCACTTAGGAGGTCCTCACAAATATCTGCAGAATAAACTAATAAGTGAATAAATGTACCAGACAAGAGAAGAGGAGGGGGTAGAGAGGGTTTCCTGGTAGAGGTGACAATCTGGGTTCCAAAATGAATGAATGCTTACAAGGCAAATTTTGTGATGCTTGTGAGGAGGGGTTACAACTAATCTAATTTCAGGGAGCAGATACAGAATGTACAAAACAGGGAATAAAACTGTACATGTTGGTGGTTGGCAAATCATGAGGATCTAGTCATCCCTGTGTGGAGCTGACCTTTGTTTAGAGCCAATAGGGAGCTATTAAGGGGTCTGACATGTAGAAAGAAAGAAGAGCAAGTCAGAGTCCAGGAGCTGACATCCAGATTCAAGTTGTGGTCCTGCTATCAACACGGCATTAGTCACCTTGAGTGAGGACCTCATTGCCTCCCCCATGCCTCAACTGTAAAATGAGACGTGTGTGGGTCAGGGCTCAGTGGGGCCAGATTATCACAAAGGTTTCTTCATCAGTGGAAGTCCACATTATTGGACTTGTGAGTTGTAGGCTCAGAGGCCATCACTCCATGCTCCCAGATGGGCTGGTCTTACAGTGTATTTTTGTTTTCAAAATATTCAATTGAAGACAGTGGCACTGTGCCCAAACTCAATGAAGTTTTATTTTATTTTGAAGAGAATAACATTCATGAAAAGTCATTCATTCTTAAATTAAATTGATGATTATGTTCTTTGTCTTCCCTCCTCCCCATTAGGTCAAGAGGAACAGAAAATATTCAAAAAACATATTTCTTTAAGCTGTGAGCCAATCAGCCAAGCATAAAGTTAGGACAAAATATGTCATGGATGTGGTTGAATTTCCTAGAATGAGAAAGACTGGGCAGGAATCCAAGTTAGTATCCTGTGGATCACAGATGTGAC